TTTTCTTTTTCTTTCTTTTTTTTTCAGGTTCTCTTTTCCAGATCAATTCAGAGGAGATAGGAGGTTGACAGATACAACTATTAGCTTTGCAATTTAATTCTGCAGTGTCTTTCTGACTTGGGTAGTGGCTTGGGTGGATTGATTGCAAGCATGTAGTGATGTCTCACCTTGTAATACATTAATATTATTTATTTTTAGATCACTACTTTGCAGTTGGAGCGTGAGAAAGCCCTTGAGCATAAGAACAGACTATCAAGGATGCTGGAGGATAGAGATCTATTTGAAGCCAGGCTCAAAGCATCTCGACGAACAGTTTATGAGGTACAAAAAATCTGGTCTTACAATGAAATGAGGATTTTAACTTGTGACCCTGTGATTCTTCATGAAAGTGGAAAAAAGCATGTACAGTGACTCAGAATTATGACATCATTTGCTTCCTGTTTTGACTGGAGGAAAAAAAAAAAAAAAAACCCTTTTATCCACTCCTAGATTTTATCATTTACAGCTTCTTTAATGTCCAGTTCTGAAATAAGTTATATAGAAAATAATTGTCTCAAAGGTAGTTAAGTTACTCATTTTAATACAGTTTCACTGATAGAGATCCATTGCATAGTTTGTGTCTAAACAGCTATCTGTACAGTATTTTGAACTTACTCTGGTAGAATCATACTGAAAAATTTATTTTGAATCCAAGAAATATGTGGAAATAAATGCTCGTGTGTATTTTTCTTTAACTTTTTTGTTTGAATCTGATAATTATTTTGATACTCAAATCATTGGGTACCTGAAGTCACAGGTCTTCGAAGTTTAATAACAATTAAACTAAGAGGACAGGAAGAGAACTGTTGACTGGTTTCATGCTCTACATTTTGAATATTTTTTCTGAGATTTTTATAGCTTTTCTTATATGCCTATGTTGCGATAAGAAGTAGAATTTTTTTAAAAAACATTTAAACAAGTTGCTTAATACCTAAAGCTTAAACAGAAAGCTTAAGCTTCTGTAGTAGAGCTAAGTTAGTATATTGCCCCTAGCTTGTTATTCTCTGTAACTGTTTGTGTCTTAGGCATGTGAGTTATGATGGCTTTATGTGACCTCTTTGTGTTTCAGGATAAACTCAAGCAGTTCCAGGAGAGGTTGGCAGAGGAGAGACGAAACCGCTTGGAGGAGCGCAAGAAGCAGCGCAAAGAGGAGAGGCGCATCATCTACTACAAGGAGAAGGAGGAGGAGGAGCAGCGGCTGCGGGAGGAACAACTGCTCAAAGGTAGGCTGGGAATGTGGTTACGGTGTCTCTTGTATTCCTCACCCATTCCAGAGCTGTACTTGCTTAACTTCAGGTTTCCCTGCCTCACGATATTAGAGGAAGGTTGTTCTCCTTCAGTCAGTGGTAGAGACCATCTCTGTTAGCTGCTCCGCCTCTCCATTCTATCCAATGCACGTCCTGGATTTACATGCATGCAGGAGGGAGAAGGCAAAAAACTTTGTTTTCCACTCCTATAAATATTTCCTGCCCTTCCTTTTCTCGAATCAGGAATAAAGAGATAAGCACTAGTGAAAAATTGAATCTTTGATTTTAATCTTTTGAGTTCTGACCACTGTCCGTGGCACATCTCATACAGGACAGAAAGGTTACATTGATGTTAGACTGACAGCTAGACTCCTGTGACTCCTGCAGCTTGCTGTGATACTGCTTTGTCTGATAACCAGTTCCAATTGCTTTGTCTGATAACCAGTTCCAAGGATTTAAGGATTTAAGATGAACTCATAGACATCCCTTAAGATAAATTCCTGCTTTCTTGTTGCTTAGTGGATGAAGGTGTTAAGTACAAAGGTTTATAACCATGCAATATTAAAAACTAATGAAACAAATCCTGGATAGCAAAAATCTGGCTTGGCTAGTTGATTATTACAGTTTTTTAACCTTTTCTAAGGAGGACTCTTTCATCCTACGTGAGTCAGTTATTGATATTTTTACTGGCCTATCTGTAGTCTGTACGTGGGATTTAACATATAGGTATTGGGACACTGTCTGTCTTCCCTATCTAGCAGCAGCAGTTCCAGATGGCAGGAACGTATCATGGTTTCTGTCCGTAGTGCTTTGTATTTAGGATAGTTTTGAATATTTGTGAATACAGTTCAAGGGTAGCATAGTTGTATTTGCTGTGTGTTTTATTTACAGAGCGCGAGGAGAAGGAGCGTATTGAGCGAGAGAAACGCGAGCAGGAGCAGCGGGAGTACCAGGAGCGGGTCAAAAAACTGGAAGAGCTGGAGAAGAAAAAGCGTCAAAGAGAAATGGAGATAGAAGAAAGAGAGCGCCGCAGGGAAGAAGAAAGGAGGGGTCTTGATGACCCATTTTCAAGAAAGGTAAATGTTAGCCTTTTTTTTTTCCCTTCTTTTTTTCTTTATTTTTTTTCTTTTTCACTCCTGCTCCTGTTTTTGCAGGTGACTTGTGAGTAACTGAAAGTTCAGGTACAAGTAACAGTGTTGTGCAATCAGTTGTAGCATGGACACCTGATTTAGCAGTTAGTTATTATTGATTAATATTATGTCAGCTTAAAAATAAAGCAAAACAAGTAAACCATCAAGCTCTCCAATCTGCTTAAAAAGTAAAAGAATAAAGCCTAAAAAGAACATCGAATACCATTTTCTATAATGCAAATGAGAACTATACTAGAAGTAAGTGTAATGACATATACCAAAGTCAGAGATTAGAGTGTGTACCGAAGGAAAATCCCAGTCTAAGCATAATTCTTCTAAAATATAAAACTATATTCTTATTCATTAGATGAGGTGTTTGCAACTTGTACTTGCGAATAGAAGCATTGGGAAAAATCACTATCCCAATACAACAGGAAACAAAGAGAAATATGTTGTTTTCAAATTAAATATCAAATTATTTTAGAAATGCTACTGAATGCTGCAAATGTTTTAAGCTCCCACTTTTTCAAAGCTTACTAGTAAAAGGACTATTTTTAAATGTCATTCACTTTAGCCATTACCCTTCTTTAGTGCAGGCTTTAGTGAATAATTCTATGAAGATAAGAAATCAGAAGTTTGCAAAACTTGCTTTCAAAGTTTTTTTTTTTGTTGTTGTTGTTGATTATCTACCTGGTAGACTACCATCACCAGTGTCTTTTATATAAGAGGCACTCTCAGCCATGGGCACTTGACTGGTGGGGAAAAGTTGAGTCACGTTCTGAGAAGGATATTTGTACCACTAGAGAAATAACATTATTTGCAGGAATCTGTTGTATTTTCCCTCAGTCCCATTGCTTGTTGGGTCATTTCTACAAGAACATTACCACAAACATTTAAATAGAAACTCATAGAAGAAAGGATGTGCGAGTTCTGTACTGAAGTTCTAACTTTGACAAATACAGAGAGTTTTCAAGAGTGGTTTTAGTTATGTGGTCCAGCTGGATTACACCTTTTTAAAGAGGTCCTCGATTATGTGAAATCACTTGTTTTGCATTGCTTGTCTAATTGGCTTTCTATGGTGGGAAAAAATGAGTAAACCATTTAGGTGTCAAAAATGTTTACCTGGTTTGTCTTTACATGGAAGTAGATCAAGACATTTTACCTTTAGTGAAAGAAATTCCTTTGCGTATGAGCAGCTTGAGTTGCAAATAACTGTTTTTGTGTCGAGGTCTCAGGTGAAGGGTGGATAAGTGCTGAATAAAATGGTCTCTGCTTTAGAGACCTTCTAGAGAAGCATGATGTCTTCTAAAGTGCTTAAAAAGCACTTTTAAAAAAAGAGAAGTGTTGCATAAGTGAATTCCTACTGTCCTCTCCAGTAGGAAAGTAAAACTGGTGGAACATGTTTTTAGTGAACAGCAGTAGCTACAGCTCGCTGTCATATTGTTCATGTGCTTAGTTGTAATAAGCTTTTCTTGTGCTTTAACTTTCCATATACTCTGCCCTGCTAGTACAGTGCATGGCATGAAGGGGGCCCTATTGTTTTTTACCCTATGTAATCAATAAAATCAATCGGCTAAGACCACATTTAACTTATTTGACCACCTGATCATTCAGTATTCTCTACAAGAAATAATGTATTCATTTAAGAGTATACTATGCTTAAAAAGTTATTAGTTAAAAATCTGTATTTAAAAAAAAAAAAAGGAATTGAATTATTGAATTGAATTAAGAGAATGCTCTTAATTTGTCCTGACCTACAGGAGTCTCGTTGGGGTGATAGGGAGTCTGAAAGCTCCTGGAGAAGAGGTGGTGAGACAGAATCTGAGTGGCGGAGAGCTCCTGTGGAAAGGTAATTGGAGTATAACAATTTTTTAAGAGGTGAAGAAAGTCAATCCCAACGCAAATAGGTACAACATTTCTGTTTCCAAGAGGTAGATACCACCTTCCAAACACCTTCCAGCCTTGTAATGTACTATTGCTTATTCCTCTTCATTGTTGAGGAAGATTTTTTAAAATTAATTGTATGAAATATATTAATCTGGTGACAGAGTCAAGGATTGTGGTTCACATGTGTATGTAAAAATAGTCCTGCCTTTACTACCTACAGTGGGGTTGTGAAAATGGCCTGCTGAATGCTGTCTACTGGTGCCCGAGTGGCCTGCAGGCATTAAAATAAACAGCACGTCCTTAGAAATGATAGGAGGCTTTAACTGCTGTTCAGTTGTGCCCGATTTTTCCAGTGTTATTAAACCAAGCGTATTCTAAAGTGTTTTGGTAATGCCCTAGGGAAAGTTTTCATCAGTTCTCCCCACATGTATCGTAATCAGGGGAGTCTGTGCAGGTGCTGACAGCCTGCCAGGACCCAGTGATCCCTGTTGCAGTCAGTTGGGACGAGCAGCAGCAGCGGATTGTGTCACGAGCTTCCTAAGATGTCATGCACAGTCTAAGTGTGGATGTTTGTCACTGAAAGTCCTGAGCCAGAACTGTGCCAGAGCATATGGAAACACAGACTAGATTATAGGGTTGTTATGGGCATATAGAAGGGGGATAATTGATGGATGTGGCTTTATTTTTATTTTATTTTTTTTAATACAGATTCTTGGAGTTAGCTAGAGGTTTTTCACATTAGGCTCAGTCTGGTAGCCAAACCTGTTCTCTGTTGTGTTGCAGCGGATGGGCCATCAGGGACAACTAAACAGTTGTGGTTTTGAAGGAGATAATAAACTGTTCAGTCTTTGCTGAAGCTGTAGAAAAGGTTACCTGTCAGTTTCCTGTAGCAGTGAGGCCATCAGAACCTGTGTATGAAACCTGCAGACACTGTAGATGTCTTTGTAACCCCATGTCAAGTGGGTCTTTCAGGAAATTGTACCCTTGAGGGGTTTGATGCCATTAATCTAACATGGATGGGGCCAGTTTCTCCTGCTTGCTCATTCCTTGTGCTTTTGCAGAGACTGGCGCAGAGGAGAAGCAAGAGATGATGAAAGATCTTTTCGGCGAGGGGACGATCTGCCCCGGCGAGGGGACGATCTGCCCCGGCGAGGCGCTCCCGAAGAAAAGGAGCGTCCTTCGGAGTCGGCTGAGGACAGGCCACCTAGGCGTGAAGGCGAAGAGGACAGGCCACCTAGACGTGAAGGGGATGAGGACAGGCCACCCAGGCGCGGCTTGGATGATGACAGGCCACCCAGACGTGGCTTGGATGATGACAGGCCGCCCAGGCGCGGGCTGGATGACGACAGGCCACCCAGACGTATGTTGGATGACGACAGGCCACCCAGGCGCGGGCTGGATGACGACAGGCCACCCAGACGTATGTTGGATGACGACAGGCCACCCAGGCGCGGGCTGGATGACGACAGGCCACCCAGACGTATGTTGGATGACGACAGGCCACCCAGGCGCGGGCTGGATGACGACAGGCCACCCAGACGTATGTTGGATGACGACAGGCCACCCAGGCGCGGGCTGGATGACGACAGGCCACCCAGACGTATGTTGGATGACGACAGGCCACCCAGGCGCGGGCTGGATGACGACAGGGGCAGCTGGCGAGCAGCTGATGACGACAGGGGTCCCAGGCGCGGCATGGATGATGACAGGCCGCCCCGGCGCGGGCTGGATGACGACAGGGGCCCGTGGCGGAGCTCAGATGACGACAGGCTCTCCAGAAGAGACGATGACAGGGGGCCGTGGCGGAGCGGGGAGGATTCCAGGCCAGGACCTTGGAGACCCTTTGGTAAACCAGGTAAATGACCTCTGGAGCATGGGCTGCTGCAGTGTGTGACGGGTGCGATGCAGTTGGTGTTGGTGATGGGAGCAGCAACTCTCTAAAAATGTCTGAATTAATTTGGCTAATATGGGCCCTTAAAATTAATCCTTTTCATTTGTCTGAATTAGAGAGAAAAAAGTTAAATGCAGCAAGTGTGTATTACTTTCCCAGGAGATACCTAGAGGTCACATAGCAATGCTGGGAAGCTTGCCTGTCTGGTGTGCAAAAACCAAAATGTGCAAGTTCAGTGACCTGGTGAGGAAGACCTTTTGATTAGATATGCACACCTTCATTTCTCCCCGTTTCATCTACTTTTAAAAATATGTTTGAAGTTAACCTCTCTCTAAGGAGGATTTTAGATAAGTGATTCCAAGTTGTTCTAGTTTTGATCTTCTTTTTAGTGTACAAAAATATTACTGTTTTTACCATTTGTTTTTATTGGTTT